GGTTCAGTTTAAAAGTAAAATGTATTAACATTACCACAGAGCTCATAAAATATAACTCTTAGAACCACCGAAAAAATCTTCCTCCTCTAGTGCCAAGAGAGTCAGAAGCTTCAGATGGATAGGACCTGGTGACTTTCATTTCATTATTCTGAAACACTTTGGCACACAGGAAATTCTGTATTGGCATTTGTTTTGAAAAGCTGAGCTCTAGGCTGAAATTCTTATGAGGCAGGTCTCGTGAGAACCTCAGTCCTTGGGTCAAGAGAGCAAAGTTCTCCTGCCACCAGTGAGCTGCGGGAATAGCTCTCATCCAGAACAGCAGATGGGTCTCTATACTCTTCCCCATCGGGTAGATACATCATTGTCAGCAAAGTCGGCATCAGTCTGTCTGTGCAAGGAGGGATGAAGGAAATAAATACGTGCAGGATGACTGCCCTATGACAGGCATTTGATATCTATTATTTAATAACCCCCCGATCCCCATGAAATGGATTATTGTTTATTCTGAGCAAATAGCTGAGGCCCAGAGAGGTTAAGTAATGTGCCAACTCACACAGCTACTCCACACCTAAGCTCAATTCGCTTCCAGCCTGAGTAGGGCTCTACTCATTACACGTGCCGCAGCCAATGGCATTTGCTGCTTCCATATGTTTCTGTGGAATTTGATAATTGTATGCTGCAGTCTCTGTGCGTGTGGTAAACCACTCATGTTGGGGAGAGACAAATGTGAACTGATTTATACCACGAAGAAATTGTTAATGAGCGCGTTTTATTTAGACAGCTAGTGGTGGCAATAAACTGTAAAATTATTGTAGGTTTCTTACGAGTTCCAATGTAAAATACAACGGAAGCTACCAGTAGAACGTGACACATAACTGGTGATGTGACTTTTTAGACACGCCTCTAAACATCAGTTTACAAAACACCCTTTCTGGAATGAATGACCTAAATGCAACCTTAGCTGATTTAAACTCTTTAGAATAACTATATTATGACATCCACCTTTTTACTAATTAAAATACCGTCATAGTCCACTCCTGTAAATAGGTTCTCTTTAGCAAAATGACCTTAAAAATTTCTCTAAAGAATAAAAGAACAAACGCTGGCACCCAACATCTCATCATTGAAGTTTATCATGCTTTCTCCAAACCTTTACCTTTTTAGAAAGAAATATGAGTAAAATCAACAGGAAATGTATAGTGTGTGGAAACCACAAATATATTTCCTCTCTGCTTTTTATAACCAGTTTATTTCTTTACATATTATGCTCACCATAGGAGTCATAATACATGAATCTCCCCATCTCTTGGGAAATATATTTGAAAGAAAACTTTCCCCTTGTAATATAAAATATGACTAATTTTACAGCATCACATTTGGAAGTAATGCATCGTAAAGTGTGCTACGCAGCTATATAAAACGTAGAAGGCAACAGGAACGAGAATGTCATTTGAATAAATTAAAACTGAAAAGCACAATTATATTTAGAACACATGCAATATTAGAAATGACAGGAAGTTGCTATTGTCCAAACAGAAATGATGGTGATAGGTTTAAACTCCCAAATGCTTGCTGCACGGAACTGGCCAAGGTAATGTACGTTCTCCGCAGAGGCCTGTTCCACAGTGCCTTGCCCTTAATCACTGTCACCAGCTGCAGATGTTAGAGGGTATGGTGGAGACCTTAAAGGGCTTCATTTGCGGTCATTTCAGGCAGGTCACAGCCCTATCGGTCCCAACCAACAGTACTAACCCTGTTTGTTGAGTTGTGCTTTCCTGACTGCGAGGAAATACATGCTGTTTCTGCAATTTGAGTACCAACTAGCCACAAAAACATGCCACGTGGCACCTGGATTTCACTGCTGACCTTTACAGTGGTTTAATAAATCAGTCGGAGGAATGTGAGGTTTACTGTTTGCAAAGACAGTGTATAAGCATTTCCATCTGCAAGAGACAAAGGCCCGAGGTTGGCTCTTTCACAGCCAGGCTAGAGCCCAGCCAGAGCAGCGGTTTACTTCACTGCTGCAGGAATG